ATCATCATCATCATCATTATTATTATTATTATTATTATTATTATTATTATTATTATTATTATTATTATTATTATTATTATTATTATTATTATTATTATTATTATTATTATTATTATTATCATTATTATTGTTATTATTATTGTTATTATTATTATTATTATTATTATTATTATTATTATTATTATTATTATTATTATTATTATTATTATTATTATTATTATTATTATTGGTTTATTATTATCATTGTTATTATTATTATTATCATGATTATTACATTATTGTTATCATTATTATCATTATCATTTTCATTATCATTATTAGAAATACTATTATCAGTATGTATATTCTTATCATTGCTGTTGTTCATTTTATTGTAATTGGTATAATTAATCATTATTAATATAATTATTACTGTTATTACAATATTACTATTATAACTAATGTTATTAATACTGTTTTAATTTTTGTAATCATTATTATTATTACTACTATTGGTATTATTACTGTTGTTGTCATCAATGTTTCTTTGTCCTTATGACGATAATGATGGTTATGATAATGATAGTCATAATAATGATACAAGTAATAAGGATTATGATGATGATATTGATGATAATGACGATGATAATGATGATGAATGATGATAATGATGGACTGATGATGATGATGAAGATGATGGTAATGATAGTGAGGATGATGGTAATGATGATGGTGGTGGTGTTGATGGTAACGATGATTTCCGTGTTATTTCTATAAATGTGTTTATTATATATGCACAATCTGGTATGTTATGATAATTTAGAATGTTATTATTATCATAGTCATAATCAATCAGTCAGGATCAAATAATACTCATCATCATCATCATTAAGTGCACATCGTCCACTTTACCTGCAATATAATCTGCACACCAAAACTGACAAATAGATGTATATACCAGAAAAAAGCAACTCTGTTCGGCATATAACCCTTCGCAAATGGAAGTACCGATAGAGCTTGAATCATCCACCTTCTCCCAAGGAATACCGCCCGCTCGCTGTACTTCGCTGAAAAGGGGCCATTACATTTTGGCTTCACGACACCTACGCCCGTGTCCTTTATGCTGAGGCACCGACGCCCGTTGTGAGCGAAGTCGTTATTCCAGAAGACCTTAGGAAGTTGGGAGCTAGGGAATGGGAAGGAGAAAGAGGAAGAGGGAAAAGGTGAAAGAGAGAGCGGGGGAGCGGGACAGAGAAAGAGAGGGGGAGAAAGAGATGAGGAGAGAGAGAAAGATGAGGAGAAAGAAAGAAAGAGAGAGAGAGAGAGATCCAAGGTTTTGGCATCCAGATGAAACATTTCTTACATGATCATGAAGCAATCTCAGTTGCACTTATTGATTTTGGTTTGTTAAAGGCGTCAGTCTACTCTCGGAAACTCGTATTTTTACTGCGAGAGAAAGGCCGAGAAATTTCGAGATGCTACTCTTTTTCCTTCTCCCTGCCTCTCTTTCTCCTCTTTGCTCTTCTTCCCAAAACTTATCCCCCCCTCTCTTCTTTCTTTCTCTCTCTCTCTCTCTCTCTCTCTCTCTCTCTCTCTCTCTCTCTCTCTCAACATCTTCGCCTACGCTTCTCTCCTTTGTATTCATCTGTCTCGAAGCTTTGGCGCACAAATTATTTCTGCAACAACTACACATTTCACAGTGGCCTCGTGTCCCTCTTGACAGTCTGTATCCGCCAAATTCATTTTTTTTTTCCACACGTGTGTTTGTGTTTCGTGGATTTTGGCCTTTTCTTGGAAATGCACAGCTAAATATTCCTTCCTTATAATAACAATAATTTAGAAACCCATTCAGCAGAACAACGACGTACCGCATATTTTCTTCTAGACTGAATCGCCAATTCAGAAAGTACTAATGACTGTAGCTAGTGTGTAAACAGGGAGGAACGATAAAAAGGTATATGCATATTGACATATTTCTTAATTAAATCGCAAATTTGTAACATTACCGGGAAAAGAAGGGAGAGCGGGACTATGATACAAATAATTGATGTTTACTTAAAGCAGAACCTTCACTTGAGCCTCGCTGCACACTTTATCCATAGCCGAAGCTTGGATATATACTACATTACCCGTGATAGTATGGAAATGTAGGTATTGTTCAACATGTCGGTGGCGATGTGTTCAGTTAAGGGGAACAATGGTGGAGCAAAAGAAGCGACGAATGAAACTGTCGCCTGCTCTTTAAATGACGCTTTCATGGATATTTTTTTCTTTGTTATTTCTTCTTTTTCTGTAAGGGCAGCCTTCCCCCCCATGCTGACAAAAATAGTTGAGATATGTATATACATAGGCATATACATATAAATGTACATATACATACACATATACATTTACATATACATAAACAAATACGTACACAAGTATATACAAATACATGCCTACATGCATAACACACACACACACACACACACA